GCTCAGATATTTCATTCAGCACACAGTTTCAAACCTCTAAAACCACCACACTATCCGACACTTCCTACTCTGTCTCCCCTCTTTCTTTTTCTGTTAAACAAATAGAAACCAGCATTTCACTGTCTGAATTCGAGTTCGTTGTATCTACCGTTAAGGGTAAGTCCCCGGGGCAAGATAAAATTTCTTATGCAATTATCAGACATATGCCGAAAAGTCTTAAGCTCCGATTGGTAAAGCTTTATAACAACATTTTCAATACTGGTGTCTACCCCCAATTTTGGAAAACGTCCTGCATTATACCAATACTTAAACCACACAAATCCTCCGATGAACTTGCTAACTATAGGCCGATTTCCCTCCTTCCATGTATGGCAAAATTTTGGAAAAGATCGTGGCAAACCGCTTGATGTGGTATGCTCAGTTCATATCACCGAATCAAGTCGCCTACAAAAAAGGTCAAGGCACGTTAGATGCTTTAATCCAACTAGACTATTTCATTACTAACGCTTTGTCCAGCAAAAACCACGTGTCCGTACTATCTCTGGACTTTCACAGAGCTTTCGACAGAATTGGAGCCCATATTATTATTCGACAACTTAGAAAATGGAAAATAGGCCAGAATATGATACGTTTTATTACTAACTTTCTCATAAACAGAAAACTCAAAGTCAACGTAAATGGTTTTATTTCTTCAACACTCCCGCTTTCTAATGGTACGCTGCAAGGCTCACCTCTTTCAGCCTTTCTTTTTATCATTGCTTTCGATGATATTAGTGGGATGACAAAAAATTATATAGGAGTTGAGCACCAGATCTATGCTGACGATATTCTAATCTACACAAAAGTCTCTGACGTTAAMTTAGCTCAATCCTTATTTACTAATATACTCGCCAGAATTGAGACTTGGTCACTGGAGTCTGGTGCTTCACTTTCATTAGACAAAACACATATCCTTCATGTATGTAGGAAGCAAAATTGCAACGGTATTGCACTTACCCACAATCAAACTATTTACATCGAATGTAARACACAGAAAATACTAGGATTAATTTTTGACTCTAAGTATAACTTTAATGCTCACTCTAAATATGTCAGAAACTCGTTAATGACACGATTAAATATTGTTAAATATCTCTCGTCTATTTTTTATTCATTTATCATTTATTCATCCGAACACACTGGTCAACGTTGTCAGAGCTTTGCTAACTTCAAAATAGATTATGGGCTCCCCATCTGTGGCAATTACTCCAAAAGCAGTATCAACCTTTTAAATGCACCATACCATTGCGCAATACGGCGAAGTCTCCGGGCCTTTCCAACCTCGCCAATAAAAACGATAATGGCT